ATAATATATATATAATACTAATACTAATAATTAATAAAGAGAGCACTCTCTCAAAAATTAATAAACATTAAAAAATCAGTGATATTTAACTTTTCTGGTATCACAGACTCCTTTAGGAATCTCATGAAAACCGTGGTCCATCTCCCTAGAAAACGCACAGATACATAAAACTCTGCAGCCTATCGCAGAAGCTTCGCAGCCAGCCAGCCAAGATTACCCAGGATATCCAGGAGGTCCAAGTTAAGAACTCTGCTTTTAGATGTTCCTTTATATATATACTTAAAACGCTCAGTTTACAAAAACTCTCTATTCTTTAGAGAGCCTGAACTATGTCGCCACTTGCAGCGAAGTGCCCTGCTGGCCTTGAACTAGAGGCCAGCTTGCTCAGGAGGCGGAGGCGGCAGTGGCTTCGGCCATTGAGACAGATCGTCGGCTAGTCGGGGGCGGGGGGTAAGGACCCACAGATAGGTAATGACTCCCGTTGGGGGCGGTGGGTGTCCTCCTCAGCTTTTAGCATCATCCGGCTGGGTCCCGGTGCTTCGGGCGCATTTCACGGTTTTTGAGCACGGCACCACCCGCTCTCCGCACCGCCCCACCCCCGCTTTCCTGGGTTTTGGGGAGCGAACCCACCCCTGACAGGGAACGCCGGCGCTGGGCGCCGCAGGCAGAGCTGCGCTGGAAGCCGGCGGGTCCGCATTCATCATTGTTCCCCCAGCGCCTGGCACGGGTTGGGGCGCAGGCAGGGATGGTGGCCTGAAGCGCGCGGTCCCTTCCGCGTCGCCCGTCGCCAAGCTCTAGCGCCACAGGTGTTTCCAGAGAGCCTTCCCAGGGCCAGACCTGAGCCAGGCGCTGGCGACGCGAGAGAGGGACAAGGGTCCAAGTCTGGCCCGCTGAGCGCGGGGAGGACAACACTCAGCTGGCGCAGGCAGCACGGGGCGCACGGGGCCGCGAGGGGACCTGCGCGTGCTCCCGCCCCGTGCCGCGCGCTCGTGACGGCGCCCCCGGCCCCGCCCCCGGCCTCCGCCTCCGGCTTCCCCCTCCCAGCGACTCCGCCGCGCTCCGGTCGGCGGGCTCTATGGGGAAAGCGGCCGCTCTGTGCCGAGGCGGCGGCTGTGGCGGCCGCTCCCGCGGACTCTCGTCGCTGTTCACGGTTGTCCCCTGCCTGTCCTGCCACACGGCGGCGCCGAGCATGAGCGCTTCCACGCCTGGCCCCGGGCCGGAGCCCAAGCCCCAGCCCAAGCCTCAGCCCCAGCCAGTGCCGAAGCCTGAGCGGCACCCTGTGTCACAACAGGTGTCGGAGCCAGTTTCTGAGCCGGTGCCAAGACTGGAGCCTGCGTCTGAGAAGACGTCCGACCCAAGGCCAGAGTCCAGACCGGGAACGGAACTGCTGCTGGGATTGGGGCGGGGGTCAGGGCCCTGGCAAGAGTTGGGCTCAAGTGTAGGGGCTGGACCCTTCCACAAGACCTCGCCAGAGCAGCTATCGGCACTCGGGCCAGTAGCGGGGAGCGTGCCCTGGACCAAACCCGAGTCCGGGTCGCTGCTGGCGTCAAAGCCGCTACCCCTTGGGCGACCTGGACATGCGAGGACGCCTCTTGGGGTTCCAATGTCAGGGACTGACACGACCTCCACTGCGCCCATGGCTTTACTGCCTCTGGACAGCTTCAAGGGCTGGCTGCTCAAGTGGACCAACTACCTGAAAGGCTACCAGCGGCGCTGGTTCGTGCTCAGCAACGGCCTGCTGTCTTACTACAGGTAGGAATGTGCCAAGTTGGGGCATCTGACGTTGGAGGGTGGTGATGCTACAGTGATGGTGACAGAGGGCGTCTAGGGTTGGAGGACACTGCCACTAGCCTAGGGATGTTTGGGAACAAGCCCCTAGCAGGAGAAATAATATCTCTGGCCAACCTCTAAAGGCTGGGGGCCCTGACCTCTAATGGGGGAGCCCCCCGCCTCCCACCTCCACCTCCTCTGACAGGACCTCTGACAAGCTTGGGTTAAAGGAGTGAGTGGGGACATGGAGGGAGAGAGTGATCTGGGGCCTCCAGGCCCCTCTGGTCTTGGTAACTGTGGAACCTCAGGCAGCCAATCAGAGTCAGTTCCCCCAAAGTCTTTGATTCTGGTTCAGGACCTAAGTCCTCAGTTAAGGACTGAGGGGGGCAGTCACCTTGTTCAGTACCTTGGGACCCACAGTACTTGGGACTGTTTGTTCCCCCCTTAGTTGGTCACTTAGTTTATTTCCCACTTTTCCTGACACCCCTGGTTGCCAGGCCTTGGGAGGGGCACAGCAGACTCACAGATGCATCAGACACAGTGTCTGCATTTTAAGGGCCCATCTTAGCGTTCTGTGGAAAACCAGAAGTGTCCTGCTGGGTTTCAAGCAGCATGGGTTTCAAAACTGAAGTCAGGTAGTGAGATAGCTAACACTGCCCACTGAAATGGATGAAAGGGGGAAAGATACTGAAGGCTTTCTCTCCTTTCTTACTGGCTATTGCCTTAGTGTATTTCCTGGGGATGGTTAGTTTCAACATCGAGGTCTTAGATCACTCTATGCCATTGGTCCTCAAACCTGAGCCATCAGCGGAATTCCCAGAAGGGCCACAAAGTACTTGCCCCTCTGATGTGTTTCTGAGGCAGTGAGTCTAGGAGGACCTGAGATTTGGCATTTCTCCCAAGTTCCCAGATGCTGCTGCTCTGGACCATGGTCTGAGAAGAACTGCTCCATTGTCATTGCAAACAGGAGGGCACTGCCTTGCTGTTTGCTGAAACTCAGGTCACCTTGGTCACTTCACTTGGCCAAGCAGTATGCCTTCAGGTCACTCACTATAGGATTTATATGACCTTCTCCAGCTTTCTTGGGACACAGCTTCTAGAGGATGTTTCAGTCTATGATGCCCCTGAGAATTCAAGAGCTCCATTGGACTTAAGTGATGGCTCCCACTCCAAAATGGGGATCACTGTTGTTAATTCCTGAAAAGAGAGAAAGCTGACACTTTTCATGTGCTTTTCTCATGTGATGTCTTGGTGTCCCTAAGCTCACTCAGCTGTGCCATCCGGATCACACAGAACAGTGTTCTTAGAGTTAGGCAACCAAATGAAAAGAGGACCTTTTCCAAATGGTGTTTTATCCCACTTATCATTCTCTGTCAGGTGTATAAACACTTCACCAAGACATGCAATGATAGGGATCATCAGTGATTTGTTATAAATGTGTCATTGTCAGCTATAGACCACACAGTTTTACGTTACATTCACATCATCCTCACCACCACACTGTTGTACAAATGAGGGGTTCTGAGGTTTGACAGGAGGATGTAGCTTGTCAGGAGTCACTGGCCCAATAGGCAATGGAGAGAGATTCTGACCTGGGCCTTTAGTACTCCATGGTCTGTGCCTGTCCCAGATGTGTGTCCGGATGCCCACGCATCTCTGAATTAGCATTGTTGAATCATCTGTATTTACCAGGTATTACTAACCTATAGGGATCAAGGTAATGTTTATGAATATGGGGTCCCCCAGTGCTAGTGGAAGTAAAACCTGATTGCATTCACTTTTGTTTTGTTTTATTCTAGTTGAAAGGGCAAAGATGTCTCATTTTCTTTTCTTAAAAATAACTGTGTGTAGACAGTTGGCATTTCAAGGTTATCTTAAATGTGCAGATTCTTTGGGTAACAAGAAAAATTCTTATTGCTTGCTGATAAGGTTGTGGGGACAGATACTGGTTTGTGGGGTGGAGGGGGATGGAACAAGTTTCTTGTGTGTGTCCTTGCATAGTCTGGCTCTGTAGTTTTGCTTTTGGACATTTCTAGACTCCAAGATGGGCAGAATAGTTATTTGACTTGTCCGGGTGGAGTGAATGATTCCTGACATTTGTACAGCCCTGTGCCATCATTTAGTCCCATGTGAGCCTTTCCATGAATATGTCCTCATTCCCATTTTATAGGAAGAGAAACTGAAGCCAAATGACCAAACTTCAGTGGCTTACCCAGAGGTGCCCACTTGTACGTGGTGCCACTGGAGATGGGTAAGTCTCCCAGTACAGAAAAGGCCCTTCTGAAGCGGAGCCAAAATTGCCACTTCTTCCTGGCACTTCTGTTCTGCCCTCTGGAAGACCCTTTGGTCTGGCCCTCCTTGTGCTTCTCAGCAGTTCAGATGTTTGACACCACACCGCTCTCCTGTCCCTGCTTCTGATCTGAATCCTGCCATCCTGCCTGCTGTGGTCAAGGATTGAGTGCCCTGTAGGCCTGTCGCTCACGGTGCTGACAGCAGTGGGGTGGGTTACCCAGGGCTCTGTCTGTGCCTGTTCATGTGTGTTCTCTCCTCACCCTCCCTGGAACCCCGGCTCTCAGTAGTTCTCTAAGTGTGTGTGTGACTAGAAGAGAGGCAAGATACAAGCTTGTGGGCTGCAGACAGGGTGAGAGAATTTTTGTTCATGATCTCTCTTCCTTAGGGGCCAGGTAGAGCCAGGTTTAACCTGTTGGGCTGATGCACCCGGGTGGAGAAGGAATCAGAGCCATTTCTCTCACAAGCTTCCCTTTTGGAAAGACCACTCTGATTTTATTTTATTATTATTTTTTAACTAAGTGAAGCCTGGTGTTTGGAGAAATGTCTTCAGAGAAAATGTGGGCACACATTTCTTGTGCTCTCTCTCCTAATCCCATCCTCCAGCCTCCCTCCCTCCAGGGTAGCCACCATCCCAAATTTTGCTCACTATCCTCTTTCTTTCCTCCTTATTTAGTTTTACCTCCTTTATGTACAGTTTAAGAGCCCCATATTTTTCATTTCAGCCATTTTTAACTTGATAAAAAGAGTATTGTACAATATATGATTTGGAGAGGGAGGCTCATTTTGACTGCTGTATAACAGTCCAGGATGTGAGTGTGCCACTTTCATTTATGCATTTTCCTGTTGATGGGTGACCATGATAATTCTAGTACACATGCAGGGGTTTCTCTTGGGTGAAATTGCCAGGTTTGAATTGAAATTGCCAGGAAATTGCCAGGTAGGAATGTGAAAATTCCCCTTATATAATGCCCAAACTGTTAGCCAAAGCAGTTGTATCAATTTAGACTCCCACTGGCAGTTAATAGATTTTGTGGATTTGTATTCTTTGCAACACTTGGTATCATCAGCATTGATTTTTACCAATCAAATAGGCATACTCTGGTATCTTGTCATTTTGGCCTGAATTGCTCATTATTTTTACCTTAATGTAAAGTCAGTGGAGGTTTGGATTAGAATTTCTCTATTAAGTGTGACTTCTTCAGGTACTTCTCTCCTGGATTTTGCTTGAGAAGCTCATTTGATCACCTAAGCTTATTCTAGGTACATAGTGAGAGAAAGTGCATAGTGCCAACAGCTGGGCTTAGTAACAGTCATGTTATCAGGATTAAAAAAATACTCTAAATATTGTCACGTGTAAAAACAATTTCTGGGAAGTATCAGGAATTGTTGGCAGGTATTTACTTCTTTCCAACAATGTGCTAGGAATATAAATAAATACAGGAGTTACGGTTCTTATTCCATTGCTAACATTCTTTTTTTTTTAAGTTTGTTTGTTTGTTTGTTTATTTATTTATTTTGAAAGAGAGAGAGCACAAGCAGGGGAGGGGCAGTGAGAGAGAGAGAGAGAGAGAGAGAGAGAGAGAGAGAGAGAGACTCCCAAGCAGGCTTTGCACTGACAGTGGAGATGTGGGGCTCGGACTCACAAACTGTGAGATCATGACCTGAGCCAAAATTCAGAGTTGGAAGCTTAACTGACTGAGTCACACAGGTGCCCCTCCATTGCTGGCATTCTTAATCACATATCTGTTTGGATACAAACAAAGAGAATATGGTTTGCGCTCAGTTTTTTTTTTTTTCTTTTGGTTGTTGGTTCCCATGTATCCCTAGTTCTCTCATCTCACAGAGAACATGTGATTACATGACATTAAGGAAAAATTCATAAATGATGTGGAATTTTCAAAGGTGTCGTCTTCAGCAAGTCCTTAGGGAAAGACCATTTCACGCATATTGCTTTATCGACATTAATGACAAAATTGATTTGGTTAAGCAGAATTCAGCTTTGTTTATACCAGTTGCTTATTCAGTGACACTATAAATGACATTTGTTTCCCAGGAAATGATTTCAAACAGGAGCATTTGTTTTAATTTATTTGTTGTTCAGGCTGATCTGTGCAGGTAGGAATGGCTAAGGCAGTTAGCAAGGGAGGCCTCAAAGAAATTAGTCTGGGTCTGTAAGAAAGAAGGCTTCAGTCAAGTGAGAGTAAAATTTGAAAGCCTTTTGGTGAGGAAGACCATTGAACATTTGGTGAGCTGGGCCCATTGTGGGGTTGTGGTCAGGTGAGAGAAGATGGCACACCAAGACATCTTTGCCTCTAGGATGGATCGTGCACTCATTCTTCCAGCGAGGCCATCTCTCAAAAGCCACTGTCACAGAGACTGGGTGCCAGGAAATAGTAGTGTCCTCAGTGTCACTTTAGGTAATACTCATAGGACAGATATGGGAAAGTTGCAAAATGTCCCTGAAAAACGTGAAGTTAAGAGTGCGGGTCTGCAGGTTAAGCCACTGGGGTCTCTACCCTAGAAGATGGTGGCCTTACCATATTGGATTCGGCTTTAAAATATCATTCAGTGTTTCATACCGTGAGACCGTTAGGAAGCTGAGAAGAAATGCGTTGGTTGCTAATGTGTCCACATTTGTTTGAAGTCTATTTTCTTCACATTTAGCATAAGGGTGTGGCAAAAAGGTCATG